CCAAACCATTCTGTGATTCTATGATCACCACTGCTCCGCAAGGAAAAACCTCAGAGGCAGCACTAGTTTCCCTGTGAGAGGCAGGATGCGCCCTCTTCCCACGAGTGCACGTTAGTTTAACAGAAGCAAAGAAGTGGGGTTTTGTTACCCATCACAAGGGGAACTCGTGTCCTTGCGGTGGTTACAAACTGCTTTCACATGCAGCAGCATGGGCAGACTCTGCCAGGGGCACAGAGAAGGCAAACACAAACCAGCAGCAGTTCTGCCAGGAGACCTTAGCGGAGAGGCCCGGCCCCTGCTAGCCAAGGAGCAGCACCCTACAGCCACGGTGCTGCAGGCTGCTGGTCTGGAAGCCATCCCAGAGCAGCAAAGCTTGCCTGGGGGCACAGGGGCAGGCGCCAGCTGCAGAACCGGTTGCTCAGTGGGCAGGGCTCCTCCTCAGCAACTGGAGGCTCCTCTTGTCTTCGGGGCAAGCGGAGCACAGGCTCTGACCATCCGTGACAGCAGCCCCCTGCAGCCCCTCCACATGGGAGCGGGAGCATCAACATCACCAGCACCACATGGCTTGGACTTGTGCTGCTCCCAGGGCTCCTGCACTGAGCGAGCCCCAGCACCAGCACATCCCACCCCCAAACTGTCCACAGCAGCCCCTGTTGGTAATTTTTTTTCAGCCTCTAGGAGAAAAGATAGAATTCCAGACATCTGGAGAGCCTTAGAAGGAAGCATAAATCCTTCCCATTCCCTAGCCATCAGGATATCTGCAGGGAAAGAACAGCTTCTAGATGTTCAGACAGGTAACAAGAACAGATCTGGAGACCAACAAGAACTGCCTCTTTCCCCAGCTCCCTGCAGCCCTGTCAGAACTCTGCTGTTTTCACCTCATTAGTTAAGTTTCTATAACTGCATGTGCGTGGCCAAGAAATGGGGAGATCAGCTGCCCACTTCTGGGAGCTCTGCTGTGATGTCCCTGGGACAACGCAGTGTGGTCCTGACCTGGACCCTCACCACTGCAGGGGGACAAGGGGGAGCTCAGCTCACCTGTGTTCTACAAAGGCATCAACAAGCTCTTGCCGGAGACAGCAAAGTTTGTGTCTGTGCTGCTTGGGGAACCCCATTTTCTTACATTCCTCTGGCATCTCCTCCCCTTCAACAGGCAGGAAGTTTAGGTCTGGAGGGAAAGTGCGGAGCAGGTCCAGGATGTAGTGACGCCCGTCGTTGCCAATAATGCCTTTGCACTCCACTGAGGAGCACAGCTCCACCTCCTCATTCTTGTCGTTGAGGACTTTGTGCTTCTGGATCTTAAGGGGCCTGCTGGTCTTCTCCAGCAGCTCCAGGTACTTGGGGTGTGAAACAACTGTCTTGCCAAAGTCTATTGACCCATAGATTACACTCTGTTCCTGCTCCCGTTCCAAGATGCCAGGAATAATAGACTGAGCTGTCACCCTGTAACCTCTGTAATCCACCACTACAGTCCCCAGTGTGTACAGCCCTTCTACATCCACAGCATTATAGGTCCGCACACCATTGAGATCATTGGTAGGAGCTACATAAGCAGCAACATCTCCACCAAAGTCCTTGTAATGGTCACGGACATCAAAGCCCAGGCTGAAGAAAATGTTGTTCCAGATGAACATCTGCATCTTGGTCTCTTCACTGGGGTTGAGGGCCATGACATTGCCATCAATGACAGCCATAGCACCTCTCGTTGCTGCTGCAGTGAAGTCGCTGTGAACCTGCAGGCAGGTGAACAGAAGGCTGGGTCAGGAAGGGCTCCCACCCTCCCAGCACCTTGCTCCCAAAGCTCCCTGCAGATTTCTCCTTCACTCCTCCTGACAGCCTTCCAGCAGGCAGGTCAGCTGGCTTCTACTTTTGTGAGCCTGGCTGGTGGCTTGGATGCAAGCTCCAGGAGCCAGAAGACTAGGGATCAGCACTGCCCAGACTCATTCGCAACCTGCGGAGGAGGGCTTAGGTGTAAACATCGCCATTCCTCCCACCCACTGAAAGCAGGACTGGATCAGACAGAACAGCAGAGGCTGCCTCAGGCTCAGCAGGGAGACACAGCGACACGGAGCAGTTCTGCCCTGCAGGGCTGGGAGCAGATGGCAGGCACAAGGCCCTTACAGGATCCTTGTAACAAGGATCCTCCTCTGGCAGTTTCTAACGGGTGGCCCAGGTGAAGTGTCCAGATGGGCAGCAGAGGAGGGGCAGTGTGAGGAGCTGCCCAAACATCCCACGGTTACCTTGAAAATGGCTCGTTCTCTGAGCAGCCTCTCAGGCAGGTTCTTGCGTGGCAGCTCCCGCGTGGTCTGCAGCTCCTCGTTCCAGTCTCTGGTCTGAAAGAGTCAAAGCCTTGTGGGAAGCAATGCACTGAGTAGGAAGGTGCGGGCAAGTCAGCATGCCTGCTTTACGAGGCATTTAGTGAGAGAAGGGAGGGGAAGGGGCAAGAATTCAGGCTGCATGGAGTTCAGAGGAAGTGAATTAGGGGCAGGAATGAGCACTCCTTGTGAGTGGACTTCATGGAGCAGCACTTTGGGATAGATCTTACACTAGCCCAGCTTACGCAGTGCAGCTTCACTGAAGTAGCAGCTTGCTGAGCTCTGGAGGAGGGTGGTGCAGGTTTCATTGGTGTGGTCACACTGCAGGCAGATAGCCGCTGCACTGCCCACAGCCTGCAAGATTTCATGCTACAAAGCTGCAATGAGGCATATGGAATAGTTTGCTCAAAGACCCAAGAGCTGTCCCAGGCCTGGGACATGGAGGAGTGCTCTGCCTTCAGTGCAGTGGTGCTCGGAGCAGGGACATGGGATTTGGACACAGCAGAAGTGGCTCCACTCAGACCTTTCCATGCACAGGGAATTGCAGCCTGAGCAGCACATCCCCTGTGGCCAAGGGCACTGTCAGGAATGAGGACTCCTGCAAGTTACCCCTTTGTGAGCAAAACCTTCCACAAATACCAGAGGCCCACTTGTTATCAGTTAACTGGTTCCCAGCGCAGCAAAGCTCTTGCCAGTGTTCTGGGGCAAAGCAAGGCCAATACCTGTCCAGGTATGTGCTCTTCGTAGCCCAGCCTAGAGGTGTAAGCGTCTTCTGCCCGCACACAGTCCATGGCATGTTCCGCTTGCGGAGCCGTCCAGCTGTACACTTGGAAAGGAGTGGCTATCCTCTCAAAAGGGTGTCTCTGAACGCTGCATCGGGAGTGAAACAATTACACATTTTCCAGAGGAAGATTTCTTTCTATTCTAAGAATTTTCCCCCTGCTGCAACATCAGCTTCTACAAGCACCAGAACAAGAGCAGGCCTCAGGAGCAGCACAGTGACTTTCATTAGCCAGTACGATACCCCACGACTGACTGGCACGGGCAGCATCTCTCAACAGCAGCTGGAAAAGCACGATTCACCCAACAGCCCCTTGTGTCATCTGCCTGCTCTCAGCGGGTGACAGTCTCATCTGTATTTACTTTGGCCCAAGCAGCAACACAGTATAATCATTCTTAAATGGGCAGATAGTCACAGCGGTGGCTGGAGGCCACTGCTAATTTCCAGCCCTTGTCTAGTGTCACTTTCATCTTCCTAATGAGCACAGCAGCAGCGCTCCCAAAAGCCACACAATGTGCCTGTCAGTCTGCACCCTGCCGAGCCCAGGCACTTCATTAAGTGGACTCTAAAGAATGACAGGCTTTTGCACAGGACCTGCTGTCCTGGAGCAGAATAAATGGTCCCTGCAGCAAGGACACGAGAGTAAAACAATACATTGTTGTTCTGTTTGTTATTGTTGTTATTGCAGGAGCTAGAGGAAATTAAAGAAAATGAACACGCACAGACATGTTTAAAATAATTGTTCCCTCTCCTCTGTAAGCCTACGCAAAGCCCTTGTGTTGCTTTCCCTGGTATTCTGTGCTTCAGCCTCTTTACTGGATTCAGGCAGAACCACCTACTGATAAGGTTACGGTTACATCGGGGTCGGGCCCACATTTAGTCAGGGGTTTTGTGGTCGCTGCTGCAGACTCGTGTGTCTCAACCACCCCCCATTATGTGAGCTCAGAGAAAGCAGGCGCTGCAATCCTTGCTGTACCAGTGGCATCAAGCACCACAGAGCCAGCCACAGAGCTGAGCCTCCCTGAGCAACCTCACAACAGACTACTCAAGGCAACTAGAGAGGATAAAGTGCTGCTACCGTTTCTTCTGCAGAGCAGAGAAGTTTTTTTTGAAGGTAGGGCTGATCTGGTTAAGTAGTTCCACCAAGGAATGACTGAGAAAACTGGGGGTTGCAGGTTTGGGATTGAAGTTGTATGCAGTAGACCTGCAAGAGAGAACAGAAACAAAGTCACAAGCCATTGTCGTACCTGAGACTTCCCATACCCTAGGAATGTGGTACATGAGCGCGTTCCATACATGCACTGTATGAACCACTAGGTTCAAGAAGGGCTTGTATTTTATAGCTGGGAAGGACTGATTTCACAGAGCTCCCAAACACATCAAAAGGGCCTTTGCTTCACGAAGAACCCAACAGTAACACACAACCATACCGAACAGTTGGTGCCCTCTCAAGATGCCTTGTCTCACAGCTCCAGGCCTGCCAGGTCCCTGCCTCCAGGTCACATCCTGCCAAACTCTAAAAGGCCACTTGTATCATGTTCACTGTGCCACTTGGTCTTGGGTCCTGCACTCACATGTGGACCCTTGGACTCATTACTTTTAACACTTATTTGTACAGATCGGGGCGGGGGGAACAATGGACTACAAATTATTTCTTCCGCGAGCCAGTTTAACATGAAGCACTTCCACTTCGTAATGAGACAGAAGGTACAAGTGTGCTTGATTTTTATCTTCTATATTTTAAGCTCTCCTCCTCTTCAGGCAGCTTCATTCTCCTTCTGTACATTATAACCCTGGATTTCAAAACACGGGGTTACGGATGCCCAGGCGATTATCTGGACTGTAGGGTCAAAGCCACCCAGAGATGTTCCTGAGCTGATGGTTGCTCAGGTACAGCAGGGCTTGTGTTCTGAAGTTCTCTCCCATCCACCTTCAACTCCTAGCTCTCTGTTACAGGCTGTTGGGCTGGATGGACCCTGCACCTCCCTCAGCAGAGCTGCTGCAACAGCCCCTCACAGTTACTGCATTTAAACAAAACAAAGATGCAGCCAAATCTGTGCCAGCTCAGGAAGCTCTGACAGGCTGTGCTCTTGCTTTAGGGCACAATGAGATAGCTGCAATGGTCAGGAAGGAATTCCTTCCCGACTCAAAATGCTCCAATTAGCTGCCGACATTAAGGGATGTTTAAACTTTCCCTAAAGCACTGGGCATTTATCCACTGCCGAAATGGTACCAGGCATAACTGAACAGCCCGATCCAGTAGAGCAACTCCCACAAACCATGTGAGCAGCGAATTAAAATGGGCTATTTTCCACAAAAAAGAAAATAAAGCAGCAACTGCTTGTTTGTTTGTGGGTTCTTTTCCAGGAGGCCATCAACAAGGAGGAACCTGTTACTCACTGATTCAAGTAGAATCCCCGGGTGGACGCAGTGATGCTGACGTGCCGATCCTCCACCGTGATGACACACAAGTACATCAGGTCCCCGTGCATCTTCCGGTTACCGGGTGGTGGGTTCCAGCCACTCATTGTCAGTACCTTTAGGCACTGCAAAGGCTACAGAAGAACACAACAGAAGCAAACCCTGTCAGCTTTCCTTGAGTTAAGAGCTATTCCATGTACATGCCAGATTCCTTTCACCTGCTGCTCTCGCATGGCTCCAGAACAAGAGCTCACAAACCCCCTGGTCTCAGGAGCACAACCTTCCTCGAGCCATGTGCAGTCAGTAATTGGCCTCAGTTTGCTGCCTTGCACACCGTAAGACTGGTAAAAACAGACACCCTGGGCCTTTGGGCTGCACAAGGCATGGATTTCTTGCTGTACTGGTTTTCAAATGGCAGCTTCTAAACCGGAATCCCAGTGGGAGGGTATGGGAAAGCTGAGGGCAATTTCTAGTGTTCTGCAGATCCAGTCTCCAGGACTTTGCAGACAAATGCTGCTCTCCCTTCCCTGCCACCCCTCCCATAAGACTGGCCACTTTACACTCTGCAGGTGTCCAGACTCCATGTCCAGTGCTTTGCACACAAGCTCTTGGACTTTATTCTTTTGGCTAAGCAGTGCTATCCCAGCACTCATTAAGCATCGAGCAGAGCAAATCCCAAAGTCCACTTCAGTGCAGCTCTCAGTCCCCGAACACCAGTTTCCTGCAAGGAATGTGTGGATAGCTGTTTGAATGACACAGGAGAACTCTACCTTCCAGTCTCTGTTCTGGGGCTGAAGGGCACACAGGGGTCTCTCTTTGCTACCTGGCAGGATATGTTCAGGAGGGGTGCAGTCAATTTGTTCCATTTCAGTACCTTTCTTCTTCCGTTTTCCACTGTCTAAAACAGACAGAGAAAGAAAGTCAGTGCTGAAAAAGACAGCATTGCCTTGGCCAGCAATTATTCAAGGAGGAATGCAGAAGTTCTCCAGCTGCTTCTCTGCACTCCGGAATGATGTGGGACAGCTCCCTGCAGTAACTAAGCAAAAGGAGTCAGGGGAACGCAAACACTGACCACAGCAGAGAAACCTTTTTGCCCGTACCTCCCAGGTCTCCTTCAGTGAAGACACTCAGGAAGGACAGCGAATTACAGTCCACACCATTGAAAGCATCTGATGGGTCAAGACTCTTCAGCAGGTCCCGGATGTGACGCACGTGTATCCTGGCTTCTCGCACTGTGTATGGCTCTGTTGAGCAAAAAGGGAGGAAACAAACTGGAATTACACAGTTGCTTACTGCTTTGGCACACAGGTCTCCAAAAGGAAGCACGGGAAAGGTCTCCCAGGTGGCCAAGCCCACTCCCGATGAAAACCCTCACTCATTCCCTCCCGGGGGCTGAAGGAACTTGCCTTCCACCACTTTGAGCAGTGAGCCCTCCTGCAGCCCCTCGATCGTTTTCAGTTCAGCGAAGTTATCGAGGACATTGCCGTCCAGCTGTAGAGAGAAGCACGTCCGATGGCAGGTGTCCTCGCGGTCCATCAGAACTTGGTGGATCTCCTGCACCATCTCTTGAGGAGACACCTCACGGAGGGAAGAACACAGTTACTCTCAAGCCTCACACGTGTTCTTGCTTTATCCCTCTGCTGCAGAATCAAACCCCTCTTGCACCCCTCCAGGCCTAGAAAGGCAAACCCTGGCTCTCCCTCCTGGGAAGATCACCTCTGTCCCTGCTGGGAGGGCACTGCTACCTCTGGCAGGGTCGGTCACCCCAGCTCCATCCCACAGGCTCAGCACCCAGAGGAGTAACAGTCTGGTGCTGTGCCGAGCATGGGATGGAGGTGGTGGAGAGCAGTGAAGGAATAGAAAGTGGTGGGGTGAAACAGGGGCTCTTCCCATATCCATCACTCTGCATTTGTGGTGAGGTTTGAATGGTGCACACGGAGAACAGATCGTTTCCTGCACTCGACCCACCATGGTACCCACAGTGCAGGAAACCTCCTTGGCTTATGCATGTGGGCTGCTGCCCTCCCTCCTGCTCTGCTCCAGCACCTCTGACACTGCTCACAAGCTAGGACCAGGGTAGTTTACATAAGCTGCTGTAAACAGCGTGGCCTGCTATTATTAGCTTATTAAAACTAACAGCCAAGGGGATTTAAAGGAGACAAAAGCTAGGCTGAGATACAGCAATTTCACTGCACTCTCTGCTGCTCCGGGGGAGATAAGACTTCCCCTGGGTTTAGAATCCAGGTGCCTCTCCTCAAAATTAGAGATACTTCATTCAAATGGTTTTTGGTGAAGTATCAAGCTAAATCAGAGTATAAGCAAGGCACATCAAAGCCTGTCCTGATATGGCAGCGTATGTCACAGTCCACAAGATACAGGCAGAGCTCTCTGTGCAGAAGGGAACAGGAGACTGCATCATTCCCTGGATCTTCAGGCTGGGGCCAGGCAGCCTGTTGCTCACATCTCTTCTTCCTTCCTTTGTCTCTAGGCAGCTTCTCTCCTGCACCCTCTCTCACCTTCTCTCCTTGCTGCCTCCTTCCCTAATTAATCCCATCAGAGGATGGATGACAAATGAGAGAGCTGTGAGCAGCCTCAAGATCCTGTCCAGACCATGGCGTGTAACAGAGGCCTTCCTGGGAGCAGTTCCCTGTCCCCTTCCCTGCCTGGCTGAAGGGAGGGTGCCGTGTGTGCCCTGGCTCAAACCCTTCCCTCCCTCCTCCTCCAGCACCACCTCCATTCCCCTCCCCAGCTGGTGAAGGAGGTACCTGCAGGGAAAAGGGCTCTATCCCGGGTGCACAGATCTTGACGGTAAATCCTGTGTCCTGTATGACAATGACCTCCTGGTCGTTCCCATCTTCTCCTGGGTCAGCCTCCTCGTGGCCATTCTGCCTGGCATCCTTCTCGCCCTTGAGGCTCTCATGCGGGCCACTGCCATTCATCAGTGCCATGCCAGCTGGGTGCTCTGGGTGAAAAGAGAGGGATTTAGACAAGGTCAGAGCAGATGGACTGTCCTCTCCGAGAGGAGAGGCTGGTGTGGACACCAGCACCGTCCCCTGGCCAACTCACGTGAACCAGGGGTTAAAAGGCAGCAAGCATTTTATTCTGCACTTGGTGTTTACTAGACATAGGTGTGCCAGGCCCTTCCCCTCACAGCACAATTAACATGCTCTCGCTCGCCCGCGGGGTTTGCATCTTCCACGATGCGGAGAGGGGAGGGAAGGAAAGCAGGAAGGATGGGTCAGTGTACAACACATTCAGCTGTCTTAAGAAGCCTCTTAATTAAAAGAAATGGGTGTGTGGTGCTTTGCGGCCCGGAGGCAGCTGTAACCTCTGCACCAACATGTTACCCAGCTCCTAACATCCCTCCTGGTACGCTACTGCTCAGCCAGGAGGGAGGAGAAGGATCGGCAGTTGCATTGCTAAGCGGCACGTCACGTGGAGCCAGGTTACTCCACAGGCACACAAACAGCTCCCACGCCCCTGCCCGCATCTGGCCACCCTCTGCATTTCCAGAATACTTCCCAGAGATCCCACGGTGCCAGGGCGAGGCTCTGCACAAGCGATTTCATTCGAGAGAAAGGTGACGACACGTTGAATGCTCCTGTAGGTGCGTCACAGGGACGGGAGCTCCGCTGCACCCGCCCAGAAGGGTTTGTTTTCTTTTCCAGCAAGGCGCAGAGTGTCAGAGAGCTGATAAGATCTCGGAAGCTGCCACCTCCTAGAGCAGCCTACACCCACCAAACCAGGCTGCGACCATGCTGCAGAGGATGGAAGCGCTGCCAGGGCAAGCTGGAACCATGGAAAGCGCCACTGATGAGAGGATTTGAGAGGGAAAAGACTCCCTTGCCCCAGCCTGGGAGCAGCGCATCACTCTGACCCATCTACCTGGGCAGCAAAGGCTGGAGGCGAGCAGGCACCACACCCCATAGGGTGTGTTAGCAGCATGGCTGCCCCATCCCAGCCATGCACATCCGGCCTCTGGACCCCAAAGTCACACGTGGGGCTTCCACCCTGGTGCTCTTGGCACCCACTCACAGGCAGTGCAGATGGAGCAGGCTGGGCAATGGGAACAGCCTCTTGGAGAGGCTGCACCAGTCAGGGCAGCAAGAGCCAGGGTGACACCCCGAGGCTGCTGAGCTGCAGCCTTCCAGCCAGCTCCATCTGGCAGGTCTCCTTCCTCCTCCTCACCACCAGCTGCGCTCCAGGGGAGATGGCAGCTCAGCCTCCGTCATTTCTGGAACACAGACTGGCGCTGTGGCTGCAAGACCTAAAGCTGTGACAACCAGTTCTCGCCCATCAGCCCCAACTGCTCCAGCAGCTCAGGAAAGTCATCCAACCTCCACCACACGCAGAACAGGGATGGAAACGCTGCATCCCCTTGTGTGCCTCCGGAGCCAATACAAGGCTGCAGCAACAAGCCTTGCTCAAGCGTCCCCAGAGGATCATTCTCCTGCTCCAGACTATGACTGCCAACAGCAAACCCACCTCAGAGTCTGTCAAGGCTGAATTAGAACATGGTGAAAGAGCAAGAAACAAGGGAAGCATTCCCATTCCAAAAGGCAGCAGGTACCAGAGCGACCTTCAGCAGCCCCTGCTGCCTTCAGCGTCTCGGCAGCTGCTGCTCGTGTTCCCTGTCACTTCCCGCATGTCCCTAACGTGAGCTGTTCATTTCTTTGACAGATGAAGCCACAGGCAAGCCAGGCGAGAGGCCTGGCTCCAGCAAGCTGCAGCCATGCTGGAAAGGAGGAAGAAAAGCTCCACACTAGAGAGCCCCAAGAGATGTGGTTTCAGGACAACCACACCATGCCCAGCGGGAACGGCCACACTCCCAGCCTCCCCAAGGACCAGAAGGAGGAGGGACAGCAGGAAAGCTATCGCAGGAACACTGCAGCCAAGGCTACTAGCACAGGCTGACCACCCAGGCCACCGAGCCAAGCTCTGCCCTGCCCCTGCCCACCTAAACAGGGCAGGACCATGGAACTTGTGCTCCTGCTGTAACAGCCAGAAAGGGGAGGCAGAATTTGGCTCCAAGACAGGCTGTAGCCCTGCTCTGCAGCCTGCTCTGCACCACGCTCCTGACCCTGGTCATCATGCGACAGGCTTGGCCAGGATGCTTTCCAACCCTCCAACTCATCAACCCGAGCAACATGGTGCTGAAGCCACTTCTGTGCCACAATGGTTGGCAATATGTTCCCAAAAGGGACACTGACACCTTTGAGTAAACATGATTTTGTTTTATGTCTTTTTTGTAAGCAAGATCCATAATGAAAAGTTACCACAAGGACCACACTTCTGCTTTTCACTGGTGGGTGGTACCAGAACCCCAAACTAGTGACTGTTTCGGAAATCAGAAGACTGTTTCTTGTCTGTAGAAATACAACAGTCACACTTCCCATCCCTCTATCCCTACTTGAGTGAAGACTGGGCCAGTCCAGCTCTGCACTCTATGACTGAAGAGACATGTAGAGGCAACACCTTCATGTCTCCATATGCCAGAAGATGCAATGCCAGCCAGCACTGTCTTAAGTTTAGAAACGCGAGTTGAGCCTGGAGTGAGACAGGCCGGCTGTCCTGCACGTTCACCCTCTGATGCAAGGCCAGCAGAGCTTGCAGCGGGGTTCTTGCGGATGGGTATGTCTGGATGAGAACAGCGGGGTTTGTTTCAAGCCCAGCTCACAGACGAGGTGCTGGAGGACTTGCTGCCTGCTGACTCACCCCATGTGCTCTCCCGGCGGGAAGCAGAGCTTCACCCTCTTGCCTTAAAGTGGGTCACTGGTTCTTACCACGGCCGCAGACCGGCTGTGCCACGGCCTCAGGCAGACAAGCAAAGCATCAGTGCTCGATTCCAGTGTGCTCAAGTGGCAACAGGGACACCCGAAAGGCACCTGCACAGACCTCCCTGCTGTTACTGACTCTGGGTTCAAGCCCCACACGGGCACTAGCTGTGCTCAGTGGCCAGCCCTGGCCCGCAGGACAAGGCACCATGCCATGGAAGGCAGCTCAGTCCCTGGGAGCATCACAGCCACTGCTCAGACAAGCAGGGAGATCCCCCCTGTAATGCCTTGGCCTCAAGATGCCGCTTTGTGGTCTCTACCTTTGGTAGAGGCTGTGGCCTCCCGGCCCCCCCCCCCCCATCCCAAGGGATGCACGAGCATTCCGGCAAGGACCCTTCTTGGCGCACACCCGCAGGCGCAGCCGAGGCTGCTGATCTCCAGCTAGCGCTGGCCGGCTGCCGAGCTGTAACACACTGTTCTCATTGCTACTCGGAGCACAGTGTGAGCAAACCTCAAGCACACGCAAGATGAAAGCATCAGGAGAACGGCCAAAGCCAAACACTGAAGAGGGGAGGAGACAGCACAGACACCACCTCACTGGGAGGAACCGGCCCACAGCTCGCTCCCGTCTGGGAGAGAGGATCAGTGTAAGGATTAACCTTCATCCTTGCACCTGGATAACGCGACATGCCAAGGTGAAGGCCCTGTTGTAATCATGCTTCGCATTTAGAGTGAGCCTGCAGAGGTGGCAGGCACCTCAGGATCCTGGCGTGAAGGAAGGTGCACACCTGAACTTGGGACACTGCTGGCTGCATACAGCATAGATCACGGGAAGTGTTCGTTAATAACTAATGAATGTTCAAACAAATCTAAACCAAGTCGGCACTCATGCTTTTCTTAGATTATCCGGTCAAAAGGATGCAACATTATGTTGCTGTGAGTTAGCCAGGTCTGGAGGGACTGGTCTGTAGATGAGTGCACCTCTGTGGTACACACCCTGGGTGGGATATGTCACCACCTTCCCCCTTTTCATTCTGCTGTGAAATTAAAGCATCACCTCCTCTCCCCTCTCCTCATCCTGCCCCATCCCACGGGCACACGCAGCCACCCAACCCCCTTACAGGCACACAGTGCTTTGGCTACATGAAGCACGATAGAGCACCATGCCGCCGAGCACCTAGAAGTGTGAGCTTCTTTTTCTTCCTCTTCTTCTTCTGCTGCTGCTGCTGCTTGAGGGGCAGTGCCTGCGCCTGAGGGTCAGGATCACAGCTTGACCTGTCACCGGGGCAGGCAGCAGGGTCTGTCACTACAAAAGCAGTACTTGCATCCCGAGCCTTGGACGAGGGTTGTGCCGCCTGTCCCCCCCGGCGAGGTGTCCTTTGCACCGGTGAGGTGTTCCCCACGCTCGTCCCAGGAGCGCCTCCGTGTTCCAGCACGCTGTCCGGACCCCTCGAGGCTGTGTCCAAACTCAAGGCTGCTCGTCCCTTGCCGTGGCCCCGGCCGGTGGGACGTGCTCCAGGGGCCGCATCCCCCCCGTCAGCTGCTGCCACGTGCTTCTCCCGGTGGCAGGATCTATGGGCTAAGCTGCTGTCCTCAAGTTTCACGCAGCTCTGGCAGGCCTCAAGCAACTGAGCATGATCGACCAGCCCCGGCGGCCCTT